CAGAACCCACTTCATCCACAGAGTAGGCTGGCACATAGTCATGTGACCTAAAAGCAAACGAAATTGAAACATTCATTCATGCAGAAGGAGAAGCAATTTGCTCAATGATTCGAGACCACACCCTTAGCAGCAGTGGATATTTCTGACCATAGTCAATAGTGCATCTGTGCACAGATTGGATAATTATTTCGTTTACGTATGTCTTCGAACGTCACTCATTGTTTGCAACGTTACAGTACTTTGCTAAAAATGGACGATGGACATCTCGCAAAACCAGTCTGGAATGTAAAATGGACAGTGGACCATCTCGCAAAACCAGTCTGGAATGTAAAACGCAACACGACTCTCTCTCTCTCTCTCTCTCTCTCTCTCTCTCTCTCTCTCTCTCTCTCTCTCTCTCTCTCTCTCTCTCTNCTCTCTCTCTCTCTCTCTCTCTCTCTCTCTCTCTCTCTCTCTCTCTCTCTCTCTCTCTCTCTCTCTCTCTCTCTCTCTCGTATGTGTCCACTTAATAACAGGGGGACGCATGTGTTGCACTTCAGTGTGTCTGTCGTATACTGACACGAGGCCCCCTCTTCTTTTTTTTTTTCTAACTACCTCAAGCGGTTGTACACTGAAAAAAAGAAAATGCATGAAGGTTCCAGCATTCCCATAACAGCCACCTCTTTTTTTTTTTTTTTCTAAACTACCTCAAGTGGTTGCATTGTTTGATTTTTTTTTTCTTCTCAAAGGTATCTCCATTTGGGGCCCCCATTCTTCTTTGAACCACCAGTACACCGCCCCAGCCTTTCAGAAATTTGTTCGTCACCTACTCTTGAGTTCCAGCATTCCAAGAACAACTACCTCTTTTTTTTTCTTAACTACCGCAAGCAGTTTCCTTGTTTGATTTTCCCCCCCTCGAAGGTAGCCCCATTTCCCCCCCCCTCTTCTTCTTTGACCCACCAGTACACGGCCCCAGCCTTGCAGAAATTTGTTCGTCACATACTCCGAAGATTTTGCGGCTCGGGCCTACCGGACCACAATGGCCAGCAGCGTCAGCCAGAAAAGAAAAGAAGTGTGTCACTGGCGGTTCAGAAAAGCTTGGCGCACAGTGCAGCGCCTCCAGACCTGGGTGTACAGGTGGTTTCACACTCTCAAACAGCTCCATGGGTCCAAATTTGTTTTCTGGAAGGTAGCTTCAGTCTTGAGCCACAAAAGAACGCTTTGTATAGACCATAGATTTCAGCACATGCACAGAGGAGAGTGCTACATTGAAAGTTCGGGCTCAGCATTGTCCAGAGTTTGGTTTCACATTGAACGCCCCACGCAGCTCCTCTGGACTAACATCCCTTTCTAGTTTGACAAATCTGAGAGGACGTGGTTTGGAATGATTCACAAAGTGACACTCTGGGCGATATGGAAGGAAAGGTGTAGCAGGAGGTTGGACAATACCCAGAACACACACGACAAAGCATGGACGGCAAGAAAGGGCATGATAGAGGCAGAGATCCAGTGCAAATGGAGAAGGGTGAAGGAAGCTATTCAAGTCCACCCCGACTGGGAGCCGGAACAACAACGGTTGGCAAGCTTCATGGAAATCTGGTTGGCCAGAGGCAAGGTAGCAGACGTTCACGCAGATAGGCTACAATGGAAAGACTGGCACAACTCTGATCCAGTACTGGGGAGACAGGGAAGCATACAGGACGACGCCAGAGTCCCACAAGGGCCACAAGACAGGAAGAGTGAAAGAGAGGTTATTGCGAGGACTTAGCCCTCACAAAGGCCGCTAGGCCTCAGCCTCCCTGTGCCCAAAGGGGCCCCCAGCAAGCAAAGCGCCCGCCCTAAGTGAAGGCGGGCCTGAGCTCGGAAATGGGGCCATACTTTCGTTATGTTCTTCATTGAGGAGCGCCAGACAGTTACGATGCGCTAGTTGGTTACAGGCCCACGCCTGTGTGAGCAAAACATGTCGAGCCTCTGGGCTCACTCCACCAGTGACGTGGCCAGAGGCTCTCGGCCAATGGGAAGCCAGGCAGCGACGTGGCCAGAGGCCTCACGGCCAATGGCAATACAGTGTGCGACGCTGGGCACGTCGCACAGTTGGGCAGCTTAACTGCTGCGGGCCCAGGCCAGTGTCTGAATGGGCCTGGGCACCGACACTTTGGCCCAGTGTGAACCTATTGGGCACACAGAGGCCAGGCCCAGGACCAGCAGATGCAGGCTCACTTTCCATATAGGAAAGTGAGCGCCCAAGCCAGAGGACATTCTGGCCTGTGCAGGCATTGCGGCCACGCTGCTGCTTTGTCGTGCGGAGAGCATGCTGGCGCATGCACTGGCCAGTGGCGCAAGAGGTGAAGAGAGGTGCTGTGGTGGCAGCAGGCGCACGGCGGCCATAGCCGGGCTGCTGGGGTGCATCACCGGTGATGGTGATGGTAGTCTTGGGTTGTCGGGGACGCACACTGTGAGGAGACAAGGGTGAGGCAGAGGGGAGAAGAGACACGTACCTGGTGTATGTTGGCGGTCTGCATTGGCGACATCGTCACATACATTGGTCTTCAGCTCGAAGCGACTCCTGTTGCACATACTTAGTGTAGGCTAGTATAGTGCTGAGTAGGGTAGGCGGGGCACAGAGCGCCAATCGAGAAGAGTGACATTGGATACGAGCGAGTGTCGACATTGACATTTGAGTTCACTGTACTACTCTTATTTGGCTTGTATCTCGGTTCACAACTATCTGGTCTTCAGCGTGATGTTGCAATTTGGTTTTCTGTCTATCGCTCTCGCTCATTTTCCTTGCAATTTGGTATCATACGCAAGCTTGAGGCCGGAGACAAGGCTACATCTGACGAGTTTGTGATGGTGGATGGTTGCTCTTTCTTGAGAAGGCAGGTTTCAAAAGACTGTGTATTCCATGTAGTGAGTCTTTGCAACGTGCATCATCTAGGAGAGTGTCACAATGCAACGGGACATTTTGGGTACAAGAAAACTAGTGCTAACCTGGTACAGCGTTTCTGGTGGCCTCTATGCTTGATGATGCAAAGAGTTATGTCCAGACTTGCCAAGTCTGTCGACGGGATAAGCCGAGAACTCAGCACCGCTTGCGTTAATCAAGCCCTTGCCTATTCCCACTGGTCCAGGACAGAGTGTCTCCATGGACTTCATGGACACTGTTCTGACCAGCAAGAGTGGCACGAACCGTATATTTGTCATAGTTGACAGGTTCATCAAGTACGCTAGACTAGTATGCCCGAAACTGCGCAGACTGAGCACGTCATCAAGTTATTCATGGATAATTGGGTGTGTGATTTCGGACTGCCCAAGACAATGGCAAACAATAGAGATGTCGGATTCACCCGCGAGATGTGGAAGAAAGCGGCTGAGCAGATGGGCAGCCAAGTCCAAATGACTTCAGGGAATCATCCCGAAGCCAACGACCAGGCGGAGCAGATGAATCGCGTGGTACAACACTTGCTGAGGCATTACATTAAGCTCAGCCAGGATGACTGGGATGACAAGTTACCTCTCATCGCCAGCCTGAACAACAATGCATTTCACAGCACCACCGGGGTCTCTCCGAATGAGCTTCGAGATCTGCCTGTTCCTAAACCAGTTGGCAGAGGAAGACCGCCCAAACCAGCACGGGAGTACCGGGTCAGATTCAGGCATCACACAGATCCAAATGAAGATCACTGGTTCACGAAGGAGGAACTGACTAAAACTGCACCTCAGGTCGTTGCGGATTATGAACGAACACCTGCGTAGAAGCATGAGGCGGATGGAATGCAAGGACTTAACCCTCACAAAGCGCCTAGGCCGCAGCCTCCCTGTGCCCAAGGGGGCCCCCAACAAGCGAAGTGCCCACCCTAAGTGAAGGAAGGCCTGAGCTCGGAATGGCCATACTTCTGTCATTTCTGCATTGAGGGGTGCCAGACAGTTACCATGCGCAATTTGCTTACAGGCCCACGCCTGTGTAAGCACAACATGCCGAGCCTCTGGGCTCGCTCCACCAGCAACGTGGCCAGAGGCTCCCGACCAATGGGAAGCCAGGGAGGGATGTGGCCAGAGGCCTCTCGGCTAATGGCAATGCAGCATGCGACGCTGGCCACATCGCACGGTTGGGCAGCTTAACCGCTGCGGGCCCAGATCAGTGTCTGAATGTGCCTGGGCGCAGACACTGGCCCAACGTGAACCTACTGGGCACACAGAGGACAGACCCAGGGCCTCCAGATGCAGGCTCGCTTTCCATTTAGGAAAGTGAGCGCCCAAGCCAGAGGACATTCTGGCCTATGCAGGCATTGCGGCCACGCTGCTGCTTTGACGCGCGGAGAGCATGCTGCACAGGCACTGTCCAGTGTGCTGCGTAGCTGGAGTGCCAATCGAGAAGAGCGAAATTGGATACAGTTCGGTGCATTGTGCTTTCTGCTTGGTACACGACTATCTGGTCTTCAGCGTGATGTTGCAATTTGGTTTTCTGTCCATCGCTCATTTTCCTTGCATTATCATTAAAGATGAGACAGGAGCAGGGGAAAGCTGCCAAAAGCAGCCCCAGGCACAGTTTGTCACAATATTTCTCAGGATTCTTGTTATGGAAAGTTATAACTGGCAGGTTCAGTGTTCGAACCTGAGAGGGATTCATGAGAAAGCAAGCTGACAGTCAATCCTCCTGATATAGGGAGTAATCAATGCTGGTCAGGGGTCCTTCAGCGAAACGAAGGAAGCGTGAGGTTGTCAATGATGTAATACATGACTTGCCGGGGGAAAAGGAACCGGATTGATGTTCCACAGAATCGACATGGAGCCAGGACCATAACTTCCATAAGGGCCTGATTTATTTAAAAAAGAAGAAAAATAAAAGAATTTGGTTTCACATCAGATGCAAACTGTCTGCAAAAGAATTTGGTTTCACATCAGATGCAAACTGTCTGCATCTATGAGTGTGTGTGGAGTTCAATGACGAGCTTTTACGACCAACCAATGTGGGCCGCCGTAGGGCCCCCCGAATCTTTAGGAGGCTGAAACGAAACGACGGCTGCCGATAAGATTTATCAGTGGCCGCCGTGGTCGGGCCCGGCCTCCTATTTTTTAGTAGTAGGATATTTTCCCGTTTTCCCAACAGCGGGAAAGGTAGTGGCGCTATAGAAAAAAAGGGCGACAGCCTTGAGATGTCATCCTGAAACTGACCGACCCCCAGGTAATTCAGGAATGTTGTTCATCTGGTTCCATCTGGATCCGAACTCAGGTCTGCATTTCAACAGTTCGTGGGCGTCAGCAGACCTGTTTCAGGTAGTCGTCCGCATTTGACTTGTTCAGCTGCTGACGAGCGCCGCCAGTTTTTGTCAGTATGATCGGTGGCTCTTGGGTTTGACGGTACTACGAAGGAGGCGGTGGGATGCGACGTCCATGACGTTAATATTTCCATTTGACATCCCGCACTGCAGGTCTTTGCTGCTGTTTACTCCTCAGAGTGACTGTGTGCATCTGCTTTGTGTGGTGTGCACTTCTTTTGCCCTCTTGCTCCTAACCTCGGTGGTAAACATTCCTTTTCGCCTTCTTATATGCTCCATGAGTCGTGGCCCTTCCATTTCCCTGCGACATGGCAATTGGAAAAGCATGGAGTCAGAAATGGCTTTTTCAAATTTTCACCTGCTTGAACTGAGTGATCGATTGGCAGACAAACCAACTTCAACCTGGGATAGAGTGACTGCACGATAACCAGCCAAGTGCTCTCTTTTTACCATGGTTTCCACTCTCTTTACCTTGTGGGTTGCATTTGTTAGGATTGATCATTGAGGTCACTGAATGGATGGTTGGGAGCCCTTCCTGTTGGGAAATTGTCACTGCTTTTGTGGCTGTGGCTTTTTCTGGATCTTCCTAAAGGGTTGAACCTCACGAAGCCTCCGCGAATTCTCCATGCATTGTTGAAACCCGAAATGTGGTTTATCAGCGTAGAACGCCTGTTCCTCCACGGTGGTGTCCCAACTCTCCCCACTGCTGCTGTACCCGGTCTTCCTCACCAGACCTGTGCCAAAGTGCTCTTCACCCCAGACCCTGTTCCACCTCTGTCCGTCTTCTCCCTCCCACCACGTCTCCCCACTTCGTTTTCCCACACCACCGGGGCCAAATTTGTCCTCCCATTGGTCCCCCCATTTTGTGGCTCCCATGCCACCTCTCTCAACCCGTTCAGCTGACTTGCACGTGTACTTCGTCGATGCCCCTCGGCCGTCATACTCTTCCCCCCATTTCTCATGCCAGTAATGGCCATGTCCTGGATCCACTGGTGTCTGTGGATTGATTCTGCACGACTTCTCAGCCCCCTTGTTGGCTCTTCCTAGACCATCGTAATTCTCCCACCACATCTCATGCCATTCCTGTTCATCTCCATTCTTTCCCCATTTGTCCGCCGTTTTCTCAATGTGGGGTAGCCCGGTGTAGCGATCTTGCCAAAGGGCCTCTCTCCACGTCTCCCTCCAAACAGACCCGTCAGCACCACGGCCACTCTTCTCCGCGCCGAGCTCTTTATACCCATGGGTTCCACAAGCCTCCCACCATTTCTCTTGCCACTCCACCTCTCCGTCCGCAGATGAACCTCTCATTGCTACCCATGTGCAGAGCCCACCGTCCTCCAACTCGTCTGTCCCAGTCTCCTTCCACCACCTCGATCCATCTGCATTCACGCCCTCTTCTGCCGTCGTCCTTCCCCAAGGATTCTCGCCAATCGACACCTTGTCCTCGTCCTTTTCCTCAACTGGTGGGAGCTGCATGAAGCCCTTTAACTGTTCTTCCATACCCTCTTCATTCTCTATATGACCCTCACCTGTCTCCACACCATCATCTTGTGTGTCTGTGTCTGCCTCCCTCAGCTCCACCAATGTCTGAAGGGGAGGGAGAGGCATCACTGCTCTGCTTTGGAATATTACTGCCCAGTCTGATGCCTCACCTGTGGTAGAGGCCTGTCTCTCCAGCGGCAGACCGAGAACTCCCCCTCCATCCTCTAATGGCTCCATGAAAGGGAGGCTTACTACCCCACCTGCCTGGAACTCAGATTGCAAAGCGGGCTGGGGACTGCCAACTTCACCAGCCGAGACACCACTATGAGAATGCCACCCATCTTCCAAAGACACAGGTTGTGAGACCGGCGGTGGGATCCAGGTCCAAAAGTCTGGACCAGGTACAGCAGGTTCATCAATCTTCTCCACACTCACACTGGGATTCTCCCCATGGCCTGCAGTTGCTTCGTGTTCAGTGACCGTGCATTCGCCTCCATCAACAGCCACTCCAGAGGCTCGTGTCGCTGCTGTCATCTCCTCTTTGCCTGCTCCCATCCTCCAAGATCCAGATGCTGCTTTCTTCTGCCGTAATCGTTCCTCCAGCGCAGATCCTGTCAACAACGGTGGAGGTGGCGATGACTGTGAGAACTGAGGTGACGTTTCTGAGGGAAGGGCGACCTGGGTAGGCATACTTCTCGAGCTTCGTAGCAGAGAGGCTCGTGGCGACAGCTTTCCTCTTATGGATGTGAGCTGGGACCGCGATTTCTCTGCGTCTCTCGATCTCAGGAGTGCATGTGCTGCAGCTAGTGCAGCCGTTGCCCGGTCTATCAATTGCGATGCATGATCCTCTCCTGTTGTCTCACGAGCCCCTGAAAACTGTTTCTGTTGTGTCCTGTCTTCACCCACATGGACACCACTCCCAGATGAGCCTTCCTGTTGTCTTTCTGTTGTCATTATCATCTTCTTCCGTTCAGCCTCCTCTCTTGCTTTTGCACGTTTCCACATGTTCAAGTAAGATGTATCATCGGGTTTTCCACCATGTCTGGCTCCTGAGCTGCTGGATGATGACCTGCCATATGAAGCTGTGGTGTACATGTTACGCATTCTGCTTGCCGATGATGTCTGCCACTGGGGTAACCCCTTCACAGGCATACCTACGAGTGCTGAGGATGATGAAGAAACAAGTGATGGCTTTGGTGCTGGGCATTTGAATGACACCCACAACATACACGTGTCTGTGTCTGACGACAGCGGTGGGTGCCATGAGGAGGTTGGCGACGAGCAGATGCAACCAGCATTCAGGAGTAGTCTTCCCTGAGCCTCACTTTGCTGGGACAATTCCTTGTGTCCGAGGTGCTTTCCACCTCGAAAACACGGTCGATCTGCGTGCATCTGCTCTGGAAAAGGGGCACCGATGCCATTACTGACACGTGTGGCTGCCAGTGGAGCTGAGCATTGATGAACCAAGTGTTTGCACACAAGAGCATCGCTTTTCCAGTGTGGCAAATGCATATTACCCCTTCTGCTCTGAGAACTGTCACTAGTGACAAGGTTCAATAGACTGGATGGCACTTGACCCAAAAGACGGCTTGGCAGGGCAACGTGCACAGCACAAACCATGGCGCGCCCGTGACTCCTTCCCTTTGTCCTCCACTTTCACGCCGCTTCGCCCTTTGCTTTCATCGGAGAGCTAGCCTATGTTCCTCCATGACAGAAGGGCCTGGTGGACTTGTTTTGACACAGGCTGATTCTTGGGTCATGGCGAACCAAGGGCCAGCACCATGTCATTCCCGTTCTCTACAACTTGGTTTTGGATTTGATCGGTTTTGGATTTGATCCAACCCTCCAAAGACAGATGAGCTTCTCACTGCCCGGTAACCATTGCTGAGGAGGGAATCATCTTAAGAACTCAGAGCTCAAACCCTATGAGACAGTTTACCCCCAACAACCTCAGGTACTGGTTGCAACCATCAAGCATGGGGAGAGTTCCCTTCGCTACCTCCTTACATCAGCTGTTCCGATATTTTTTTATTTTTTTTTTCGACACCAATATTTCTGAGGAATCTGAGGATCATCCCAGTAGAGACTGTCATCCACCCAAATGCCACTGTTTTAATCTCTGCATCACCCAAACTCAACAACTGGCTCCAGGGCAGTAGACCGCTAAAGAAAGCGAAAACAATCTCCGCAAGGTCCAAAAAAATCAAGTACACAGCTGAGGTGATGATTATCGAGGGTAGGAGACATCATTGACAAAATTGCACTCCGTCTGATGGCGCTGACATGGCCAACCATTCAGTCAGATGTCCTGTCAAATGCCGTCTCATCAGGGCCTAATACCTTCGGTGCATTTAATTCTGCAAATGTGCTGGAGGAGGAGAGGGCCCCGCCGGTTTCCTGCGATCCAACGGTCTCAGTAAAGGGACTATGATAAAGCAATCCCTGCCTACCTCAATGCCCGATTGACACACTGGAAGCTGTAAGGATTTTGCACTCCGGACTATGGTTATGTGCTCCCCCGAAAAGCTTGAGAACGAACCGAAAAACTTATTCTCTTCAGAGTAACCACCTCATGGGTTCTGCTCAAGTCTCTCAGCCGCGCACCATAACCTGAGTCCAGCCCATCCAAAGTCCACAGTCACTGCAGAGGCTGCTGCTGCTGCTGTTGCTGCTGTCAGCTCCCCCCTACATAGCCATTGCAACAATGATCAAGCAAATGACAACACACTATCAGAATCTGAATACCAAACAAAGTTCCACCGCAAACTACATCGACCCCAGGTGCAAAAACTGTGACTGTTTGTTTCAACAGGCAGCATCGTAACTGAAAGCCACCTCTTGCCCCCTGTGATGCTGAATAAACTACACATGGGGAGAGCATCCCAGAAGGGAAGGAGGCTTGCAGAAGTTTGCAATGAAGGACAGAAATAGTCCCCTTCTGTTCGCAAGGACCAAATTTCCCGGCCATAGCGGACTGGCTCCCCCGCCATCCAGTTACAGATCATGCACTCGGGCATCTGCACATCCAGGCGCATTCCAGCTGACCTAGTTTGTTAACCGTTTGTGAACATGAGATGGCCATTTATTTGTGTACTTTCCCCTAAACCTTACAAGCATGGAGAGTTTCATCCAGGAGTATGCCCCTGACTGCAGTGGTACAAGCAAGCAAGGTCCCACTTGCTTGCATTTGACGATCATAACCACATAACGCTGGCAACTGGGACCTTGCCCGGGGGAACATTGTCCAAGTATCCAGAGCGATTCTGTTGTATGTGCTGACACAGCTGAGTGTTGGGCAGATGTGTGCAGGGTAAATGTACGGCTATCCAGTTAAGAGAGCCTCACCTCACACCACTCTCCGAGCTTGAGTTCTTTCTGGTAGAGCACATGGAACTGGGGAACAATCAGGAGTTCCTCTTTTAGTTTTTTAGTTTTTTTTTTTTTTTTTAAAACAAAACAGCCCCTTCTATTCTGGGGGGCAAGCCTGAAAACCAAAGTACAGTTTGATTGTAAGAGAAGACGAAAGCCTTACCCTTGCGGCCCTAGGCGCCTATCAAGGGGGGGACTGCTACAACCAAACCCACTTCCCATACCATAGCCTCCCAAGGGATATTTCTGTTGGTCGGGAAGCTTCCTAGCAGCACCCAGCCACGCAACAGATGGGTCCCCAGGGAAGGCCTGGCCCGGGGGGGCTGTTCTAGCAATCTCACGGGCCTCTCATCCTGTCAATCCCTCCCTCTATACACCCATAAAGCTCGTCTAATCCTCGTCTTATTCTTGCAACAATCACCGTCATATCAATCTCCTTCTCTATTCAACGCTCTTTTTTGCACCTACCACCGAATGCCTCTTACACTCACCCCCAGAACCTCTTTTTTTTTTTTTTTTTTTTTTTTCAATAACTTCGGTCATTGGACCAATTCTCGATTTATGCATGTCACCCTTGCGCAGGGGCCATACTAATCTTCTCTCTCTGTATCGTTCCAATTTTAACGGGGATGTCCCAAAGGACGATTTGGACCATTTCTCGATTTATGCGTGTCATGATGTCATCCTTTTGCGCAGGGCCCATGCTAATCTTCTCTGCATCATTCCAATTTTAACGGATGTCCCCCACAGGACAAGACTTCTCATTATTTTCATGCTTTGCCACAGTGCTGCTCTGCTTTGGAACTGGTGTCTGCTCAGAGATTAGCTGTTTGTATGTTTCACACGAAGTCTGCACAGACCACTCATGACTGACTCTGGTATAATCAAGAAAAAAATGGAGGCAATGGGCGTCGCTCCACTACTCTCGACATGCACAAAAGACAATAAACCATGCGGAGTATCTTTCCACGTTCTAACGGAAGCTTCGCTCTCGTTTTGCACATTTCAAGAGTAGTGTAGCGAGGCCCAATGTCCAGGGAAAAAGGGAAGACTGTTGAATCCGGCGCAGTGGCAGGCGGGCATTCTTTTATTTCTGGAGAAAGCGCTCGAATGCTGTATTCTCACAGCTCTTGGAGAGTGCTCTCAAGCGCCCTATTCTGACACCCATTCTGACAGCTCTTGGAGAGTGTTCTCGAATATAGCAATTCCACAACTTGAACCCAGGAGATTTGGGTGGAGTATGGGCTCCAACTAGAGCAATTCTGACAGGGATCTTGAATAGCAATTCCATTCGAGCGCTTTCTCCAGAATAGCAATTCCGACAGGGATCTTGAATAGCAATTCCATATTCTGACAGCTCTTGGAGAGTGCCATATTCTGACACCCATTGTGAGTCTGCTGCTGAAGCTGTGCTGAAGGTGCAGCTCTCGGAGGAACCACATAGGCACTGTTCAGGGATCGTGAATAGCAATTCCACAGCTTGAGCAGATCTTGGGCCCAGGAGATTTTTTAGGGTGGAGTATGGGCTCCAACTAGAGCTGGAGAGAGAACCATCCAGCCATCGAAAGCTGTAGGGGCAAAAGTGAGCCCAAGAGACTACCTCGTCCCGACAATCAAATGTATGGTCATTCTAGCTGTATTTGAGGCAGCATAGAGACAGAGATAAGGACAGTGTTCTATTCGGGGGGAAAAAGAGACCTTGAACCCAGGAGATAAGGATGGAGTATGGGCTTCTTTTAGAGCTGGATATAGAACTATCCAGCCATCGAAAGCTGTAGAGGCAAAAGTGAGCCCATGAGACTACCATCTGCCCCCCAATAAAACATACGGTCATTCTAGGTATATTTGGGGCAACATTCAGAGTAGATACGGAGATTAAGGACTGTGCGACATGTGCGCTCTATTCAGGGGAATACCGTAGGTTGGCGTAAGGGCTTCCACAGAATAATTCACCGCCCTCCTCTGTGACGCACTGGGTAGGAATGGGAGCAGTTTAAGGACGTACAAGTAAGAATATCAAACATGACGATAGCCTGATCGGGGGGGGGGGGGGGGGGGGGGGGGGGGAGGGGTAGAAGGGGTACGGTTGATGCTGTTTATCGCCAGGGTAATCCATGGCGTACTGTTATGTAACTCAGTAACTGGTTGAAACCGTGGTGATAATAGTACGCCATGAATTACCCTGGTGATAAGCAGCATCAACCGTACCCCTTCACTCGGAGAGAAACACAGCCTCCAACCGAGCCAACAACTCACACGTTCCCATACACGCATGGAAATATGAAGCAGACTTGGAGGCGGCGATTCCACACCGGATCGGAGAGAAACACACAGCAGAAGCTCACAATACAAAAATGGAATTGAATTGAAAAATTGTGAAATTCAGATTCTCAATCCCTCTTCCTCCTCCAATCAATCAGTGTTACCAAATTTCCAAGAATCGTCAACCATGTTTCAGCAATTTTATTTATTTATTTATTTAATAATTTGGACCATTTCTCGATTTATGCGTGTCATCCTTGCGCAGGGGCCATGCTAATCTTCATTCTCTGTATCGTTCCAATTTTAAAGGATGTCCCGAAGGACTGTTTCAACAAATTAAAACGAACGTTCAACGAATATCAGGAGTCTCGAGAATATCATGTGCAGGGAAGAACTCGCCCAGAAGCTCTCGAGAATATGTGTGGCTGTGCCTCCGCTGCTGAAAACCTGTGTTTTCTGGTAGTGGTGCGGCAAGGCCCAGAACCAGGATCTCATGCTAACTAGGTGAAGGCAAGTTGAACCAGTTTCCATACCTAGCTCGGATCGGTAGAATGTCGGGACATCATGCTAACAAAGTCAAGCCTCCAGCATTTGTTTATGTATTGAAGAAACCTGTGGCAGTCTGCATATCCTACTTTTTGTGTTATTTCTTTTTGTCTTCTTTGAAAGTTCTTTCCAAAGAAAACGGTTGCGTGACCGGTATCCTCGGCTGAGGTCCCACTTGCTTGATTTCTTCATCTGTGACTGTTGATCTTCCACAGTCGCTCTCCAGAAGTCACTGATCTGAATGTTTCCCCAGATGTACAGAAACCAGCCCATGGCGACCTGGTGATTATCTAGTGCCCAAAATATGGAAAAGGGGTGTGCCCTTTCCGCACTCAAACCACCACTGTTGCCAACAGCCTCTGGAGATCGACTTTGTAAGAGGACCGCTCGGGATACCCCTTTATTAAATTATTAGTGCTTAATAATGGCTGCATGTCAGGGGCACCAGGGACAAGGTTTGGCAAACTCGAGTTCACCGTTCTTAACCATATATCATATATATGGGCTGTGAAGATCGACGGCCAAAGATGGAAGAGTACAGCCCAGCAGCAGGAGCTTGCCTCAGATGGACCTGCAGGCAAGAGCCTCAGGAGGGGCCGCAGCCGAAGGTCCAGGCGGACCTTTTTTTTTTTTTTTTTTTCTAAGCATCGACTGGGTGTGCTAGCGGTGTAGGTTCAGGCACTCACTGCTAGCAGGCCAGGGGATGGTTCCGCAGTCTATTGGTGGGGAGCGGCACCTGCTGGAAAACGGGTCCAGCGTCCCTTATACATAAGGAGCGCCATGCGATTACGTGATGATATATGTATGAGTAGGAAGAAGTGGTTGTGTCTAGCCTCTTCAGCCGCCCAACAGGGCTGCCTGCAACTACTGTGTGACGAAGGTGGGGACCTTCCATCAGGCAAAATGAAAATAGACTTGACAACAAGAGAAAAGCAAAACAAAAAGAAAAAACAAAAAAAACAAAAAAAAAGGAGGCTTGGGAGGATGGTGGTGGCTTGGCTATTACCAAATGAACAAGTTCCAGCAGGAACAAGAAGTACGCATGAAGACAATTGAGTCCGGTCAGAAGATTCAGAACCTTTCGTCAGCCGCATTGCTGAGTAGTACACAGTGCTACACAGTAGTACACACTCATGCCTGTTGATAAACAGATCACCAGTTCAAAATTCAAATCCTACTGGATTCAGTAATGTTAGTACTACTTAGTAGTCTTAGGGCATTGCCCCTTGTGTCCCTTAAACCACCACTACCTCCGATCCTGTTTTTGCCGACCCTGAATTTCACTGCGCACCGAGTTTTGCCGAGCCTGGGTTCCATCGCATTTGCTTTTCTCAGTTTTTTTTTTCCCCTTCATTTGGACCATTTCTCGATTTATGTGTGTCATCCTTGCGCAGGGGCCATGCTAACCTTCTCTGTATCGT